CACGTGGGGAATAAAACGCGCCTGATTTAAATGTCACACCTGAACGCTCACATCCTTTTAATAATGTTTGAAATTATGAACATTGCTCAACATCATGAAAATTAAACCTTATTTTCAATAAGCAATCCTGAAAAATATTTGGGGGTGCTTAACTTTTTTCCAGGTGTATATTTAAGAGTATTAAAGCAATTCATTGCACAACACTATTTAGCTCATAAAGTGTAAAAAAATGTAATCACCAGTATATAGGACAAACCCAAATGACTTGGAGATCGTTTCAACAATCATGAATCTTCTATTAACATCAAAAAAGGCCTCTCTGTTGCCCAACAATTCAAGTATTCAACCATCATTATATTAATGATTTGATTTTTACTGACATTGAAACCGATTTCACAACTAAAGCTGATACACAAATAAAGGATGTCAATTGTATTGTCACTTTAAATACTGTTCAACCTTGTGGAATAAGTCTAGTTCCCAAAATCAGTGACCTTCAGCCATCAGTTAGTTCTGTGACAGAAAAATAAACAAAAATTAAAGTTTTTTCTCTTTTCATGTGTGGTGTGTATTCTATATTTTTATCCCTAATCTTTCTCCATACTTATTATTTATTTGTGATAATTTTCCACATTTTTATCTTTTTAGTTCTATATACTTAACATTTCCTTTTTAATCAATGTTCATATAACATGTTTATTTTACTTTATCAATATTCAATATGGCTTCACTCAACACTTTTTTTAAAAACAAAACCTCTCTAATCCTTTTAAATCCAACATTCTAATTTACTGTTCTATTGTACAATGGAAATGCTTCACACGTGCAACAGTAATTTTGAAAGCATTGAAAAGTAATCAAAACACTTCTGCATTGTCAAGGTGGTCTGTCATGACATCACTCCAAGTTTTTTTACTGTCATGACGTCACTCCACATTTTTTTACACTTAGCTATACTTGTTCACCTTTTGAAAGAGCTGGGCTTATTAAGTATTGTATTTCAGTCAACAAGTTTTAGTTTTTAGTGAAGTATTGGGATCTGTGTTAGCTGTCACACATATTCAGTTACACAAGCAAGTTGATTTTTACATCAGTGTAAAACAGTTAGTGGCTGTAAATGTATCCCTACAACTTATTAAATGTAAATGCTTGTAGAAATGCAATGAGAAATAAACTAATTTGTTTTCATTTACATGGACTGGAATTTTAATTATTTTCATCTGATAATTCCAAAGAACTCTCCTAACCAATAAACAGTGTTACTACAATACAAACCAGAAACACACACAAACCAACATGATAACCAAACACCAAAATACTAACCAGTCACACCAATATACTGATCAGACACACACACCCCAAAATACTAACCAGTCACACACAAACCAATACGATAACCAAACACAACATACTAGCCACTCAGACCAATATACTAACCAGACATACACACCCCAATATGATAACCAAACATCAACATACTAATCAGATACACACCCCAATATGATAACCAAACACCAACATACTAGCCACTCACACCAATATACTAACCAGACATACACACCCCAATATTATAACCAAACACCAACATACTAGCCACTCACACCAATATACTAACCAGACATACACACCCCAATATGATAACCAAACACCAACATACTAGCCACTCACACCAATATACTAACCAGACATACACACCCCAATATGATTGTTGCCTTACAAATCTTTTGATATTCTTTGAAAAGGTTATTGTTTATGTAGATGAGGGTAAGGGTGTATATTTGTTGTATCTGGAATTTCAGAAAGCATTTGACAAGGTGCACATAAAAGGCTTGGAAAAAATTATCTCTGTATGTGTGGGGGATAAGTTAACTAATTGAATAGAAGAATGGCTGGATGGAAGAAAGCAGAAGGTTGTTACAAATGGAGTTCAGTCAAACTGGATTAATGTCACAAGTGGGGTACCTCAGGGCTCAGTCTTAGAACCTTTGCTATTTTTGATTTACATCGATGACATAGATGAAGGAATAGTCAGTAAGTTACTTAAATATGCAGATGATATTAAGGTCTTGGGTGTTGCTAGTTGTGAAGAGGATGCTGCTGATTTACAAAAGAATTTAGTGAGTTTGGCAAATAAATGGCAGATGGGTTCTATTTATAATAAATTCAAGATAATGCATGTGGGGTATCATAATTTGAATTATAAGTATAATTTTAATGGGAAGAACCTTAACAGTGTT